AATATATCAAGTACAGTCAACTAAAAATTCCCAACATTAGAGACAAAGGAAAGAAAGCCACCCACCCACCCAAGAACAGAGACAACTGGAGCCCAGATGCACATGTGTTCTCCTGGGTTCCTGTAACATGCTTTCAGAGATTAGAAGCTGTTAGAAAAGCAACAGGACAGGCCCTGGGACACTGTAACCCCCTTGCTAAGTCAGAGTAGGCTAGAGAGGACAGCGGAGCAGTGCTCAGTGGTGAACACTCCTCAAGGAAAACACCAGCCCTCCTCACTCAAGTCCAGCTCAGCTGCAGACAGTGTTCCCCAGAGCAGAGCCCCTCAGACTCAGCTCAGATCTCCCGCACTTTTCTCTTTCCTGGGAGGGGTCTTGCTGTCTGTCAGAGCCCCCCTTTCCCAGGAGAAACAGGCTACAAGAAATTAGCAATACTGACCTTTCTGCATTCTTTCCAAGAGGAAAATCAAGATTTTTTTAGAGACAGTAGTGTTAATCAGGAATCCCCTTTAAAAATAAAGACACAGGGCGGGGGCAGTTTGGGAAGCAGAGGCAGGCAAAGGGAGGTGAGTTCAAGGCCAGCCTGGTCTACAGAGCCAGTTTCAGAGCAGCCAGGGCTACACAGAGAAAACCTGTCTTGCAAAACCAAAAAACACAAAAAGACAGAGACTGTGTGGTAAGTGATTTTTAGGATGCCAGCCCACAGTGACAGTGTTAGGGCTCATACCAGGGCACATGATCAAATTCTCATTCTCTTTTTCTCTCTCTTTCCCTCTCTCCTTTTGAAACACAATATCACCTATAGACCAGGCTAGCCTTGAGTTCACTGTGTCCTCCAGGTTGGCCTCCAACTCTCAGCAATTCTGCCTCAGCCTCCCATGTGCTGAGATTACAGACCCCAAAACGACAGTGCCTGGCTGTCTACATTCTTTACATCAACTTGGACCAGGGGACCAGTCTAATGGCCTTTTAGTCAGAGGAGGCGCAAAGAGTTATAAACACACAGCCCATCTGATACAGAGCGCGCGCGCGCATGCACACACACACACACAAATCACTGTGCACAAGGAAGACCTGGGCTAGCACGTCTCTTCACAGATGTAACTGGAAAGAACCGGTGCTAATCCCTTTAGTAGACGTTAGATAACAGAAGTGACCACACTGGATAAATGTGCAAGACACGGGTGACTGAAAAGCGGGAGGGGAAAGCAGCCATGCCTTGAGTGACTCACCTCAAGGGCTTCCCTTCCAGCCTCCGTTTCCCTTCCATCTGCATCTGGACCTTCACCAGGTCCGTGGGGTTGGCTAGAAACTGCCCAATGATACCAGCCATCATCCCTCCAATGACCGACTTCCTAATCGCAAAGGGAGACAGTTGGTTTGCTGTTTTAAGTCGCCACCCAGGGCACAGATTGAATGAGGGAACCACACTGAACTTGCACAGGCCCTGGGTGGAAGGTTAAAGATGCAGTACATAAAGAACAGACACACAGGAGAGAGCAGGGACAGCCTGACTGGTCGCTGGTGGGCAGGTCCAGGGCTCAAAAGGCGCTAAAGGGAAAATAACCTGAAATCCTTCCACCTAAGTCCAAAGGAGAGAAAAATGGACACTTCAACAGTACGGATGGGACGCTTGAACTGATCATTTCTCTGCCCCTGGCCTCTAACTGCAGGGTAAGAAAACAGCAGAGAGGCAGTCGGCTCGGAGGCAAAGGTGAGGACTGAGCCGGTTTTCCAAGCGACAGGCTAGACGGCATTCCTCTCTCTGAAGAAACTGTAGGCCAAAGCTCCCCTACGCTCAGCCAATAGTGAGCAGGGCTCAAGCACAACAATTACAGTGTTGCACCCCCAGATCACACATCAGAACCTCAATAGGCGGTGCATCTTATAAAGGTCTCTATTGTTTTACATTTTCCCAACACTGTGAAGGGAGTTCAAATTCATTTCCCTAGTTATCAGTGATGCTACTTGTTTTTTTACATAATGAACACTTATACTTCTTTTGGGAATCGGGTCTCTCAACGTCCTTTCCTTATTTTTCCTGGGTGCTATCTATGGGTTTGTTTTTGTTGATGTTGTTTTGTTTTGATGGTGCACATGTGAATTATTTATGGTGAACTATTTCAAAATATTT